CATTTATGCATAATAATAATTTGTAACAATGAAAATCATTTTAAATGATCGGATAGAGCAACAATCAATTACTCGTCATCAATCACTACTATTTCCGGTTTGTCCTCCAACCAACTGCACTGTTTTTTTGTAATGAGATTGTGACAATCATCATCCATTTTAACTTGCTCCTGTACTCATTTCATTTTACCCTATGGGGTGCAAAAATATGGGGCAAGTTGAAATGCTTTAAATATTTCGGAAAATTATTGTGACCGAAATTTTATGTGCAATCACTCTAACTGGCCTTCATATGTACATCACTGGATTAAATTATACAAAACTCATCTTTTTGGAGAAGATAACTACTTCCAACTATTTGTTTTGACAGTAAAAAAATGCATATAGGTGCTTATTATACTGAGTAGTTCCACGCCAAATGACGAGTCGATCAGACGCGACCTTCTCCGATTTGAATGAAACTTTTCATAATTGTTTGTTATGGTCAATCATGTACATCTGAGCTAAAATTTGGCGATTTTGAATCTTGTAAAACAAACTTCAAAATGGCGTATTCAAAACTTTTCAATGAACCATAACACGAAATCGTTACTTCCAATCAAAATGACGTCCGAGATAAAATTGTAGGAAAAAAAATGCTTTGCAGAAAAAATATAAAAGATTCATTAAATTAATGTAACTTTTGGTACGAATCCTTAAAAGTGTTAAAAACTTTAATAACAGAAAATGACCCTCTTCAATATTTTTGAACCATTTTTATTAAAAAGCATACTCAAAGTTCTATTGTATTGTGAAATTTTCAAGTTGAACACTTAAAAATTGACAAAAATCATGGTACAAGTTTTTGTAAGTTTTTTCACAGAAAACAATTTATTAGGTCTAAGCAATCAAATTGTGTTCAACTATATACCAAAAAATCTTTTTAACAAAAAGTTAAAACATTTGACTATAAGTTCTTGTTCTATGATATTTATCAATTTTTTAGTGTCCATTATGATAAATTCTATTTTTTGTGAAATTTTCATTCAGTTCTATTTTTTTGTGAAATTTTCAAGTTGGACACTTAAAAATTGATAAAAATCATAAAACAACAACTTTTAATAATATTTTAACTTTTTGTTTAGACGATTTTTTGGTATATAGTTGAACACAATTTGATTGTTTGGACCTAATAAATTGTTTTCTTTGGGAAAACTTGCAAAACGTTGTATAAACAAAAAGTTTTACAGTTTTTCCATGATTTTTGTCAATTTTTAAGTGTCCAACTTGAAAATTTCACAAAAAAATAGAACTTTGAATATGCTTTTTAATAAAAATGGTTCAAAAATATTAAAGAGGGTCATTTTTGTTATTAATGTTTTTAACACTTTTTAGATTTTTTACCAAAAACTTCGTAAATTTTTGTACCATTTATATTTTTTCTGAAAAGCATTTATTTCAGTGCTAACATTTGAAAACGGCACAAAAGCCATTTGTAAACAAATGGTTTGTGGGCCCTTTACTCACTACTTGAAGTACACCCACGCGACACAACAGCAACATCGGGTAGGGGAAATTTTCCCCTTCCTGACGATGCTGTTGGTTTGCGTGGGCGTTCTTCGGGTAGCGAGTAAAGGGCCCACCAACCATTTGTTTACAAATGGCTTTTGCGCCGTTTTCAAATGTTAGCACTGATTTCTTCCTACAACATTGTCTCAGATGTCATTTAGATTTGTTGTGGCGTTTTCGTGGATTTATTGAAATATTTTGAATAACTTTTTGCATGATTCAAAATGGCTTAATTTTAGCTGAAATGTGAATGATTTACCATACAAGGCAACTATTTATATAAAGTTTCATGCAAATCGGAGAAGGTCGAGTTTGAAAATCATTTTTTTTTGCTATTTGGCCTGGAACTGCTCTGCTCAATCACAGTGATATCACACTTCCGCTAATAGTTACGCCTTCCTTTTCAACTTACCCCGGTGTACCTTATTCAAGCATAAAACAATATAAGAAAAAATGTTTCACCCTGGCAATGGTTTTCCGGATTTTTCATGCGGGTTTTTCGTGGATTGCTGAGATGATTTACTTATGCCACGGATACACTTGTATGAGAATCTATGAGCATAAGCATTTCTGAGCACTTAGCATAAACTAGTAATCCTATCCTATATATATATGTGACCAAGATTACCAATGGATTTTTTTTCAAAAACGATTTTATTTTAAAGTCAATTTTTGAACCGCACGGCCGATTCCAAAGATCAAAATATAAAATGAAAGGTAATTAAAAATGCTTCTTAGTAAAAATATGATGATAATACTCAACTTGTTTTTTTTTTTATTATTTATGTTAGCTATGTATCAATGGAGAAGTATGGTAGTCTAGTCGCTAAGGAGTATTGAGTAAAAACCCAAAACTTGATAACTTCCAAAAATATAATTCAAAACCAAAAAAAAAAAAATTGCTGATTTTTTCAAATTTTGTGTAAAAAGAGAGAATATCTATTCGTATTACTATGTCCTGTGGATTTCCTATATACATGGAACTGTTATGCGAATAGCGGTGGTATCCACAACCTATTTCCACTTATCTCCAACTCTTCCTGGGTCTCTCCTTAAATGATACTGCCAAATAATTTGAATATCCAGCTAATTAGTCAAATCTTACTTAAAGCTCACGCACATTTGTTTCGTTTACGAAGCGTTGATGCAAATTTGATAGCTAGACAATAGATTGAGCTTTTATTTTGCAGGAACGTAAAGGGTGATACGGTCAAAATTTGGTCAATATCAACTTGACGTATTTCTTTCAATTTTGCATTTAAAAAACCTGAACACCCCTCATTTTGAAGGTGTGTGTGTGTAGAATGTTGCTCTTATTTTGATTTTGGAATTCACTCTTCAGTTGTCAAAATGCCGTCGCGAAAATCCGAGCTACTCGCACGCAAAGTTGGCAAAATCGCTAAAAGTTGCCAAATCAACCGTTACAAATGTAATTAAAGTGTTTGGGGAACGTTTGTCGACAGCCAGGAAGTCTGGATCGGGGGGAAATCGAAAACCGGAAGCCGCTGAAACGACAAAGAGAGTTGCCGGTAGTTTCAAGCGAAACCCTAACCTCTCTCTCCGAGATGCCGCAAATAAGCTGGGTGTATCGTCTACAACCGTGCATCGAGCCAAAAAACGAGCCGGACTATCGACTTACAAGAAGGTAGTGACTCCAAATCGCGATGATAAACAAAATACGACGGCCAAAGCGCGATCCCGGAGGCTGTACACGACGATGCTGACGAAGTTTGACTGCGTGGTAATGGACGACGAAACCTACGTCAAAGCCGACTACAAGCAGCTTCCGGGACAGGAGTTTTATACGGCAAAAGGAAGGGGAAAGGTAGCAGATGTTTTCAAGCACATGAAACTGTCAAAGTTCGCAAAGAAATATCTGGTTTGGCAAGCCATCTGTACCTGTGGCTTGAAAAGCAGCATTTTCATAGCTTCCGGGACTGTCAACCAAGAAATTTACGTGAAAGAGTGTTTGAATAAACGTCTGCTGCCTTTCCTGAAGAAACACGGTTGTTCCGTACTGTTTTGGCCGGATTTGGCATCTTGCCATTACGGTAAAAAGGCCATGGAGTGGTACGCCGCCAACAACGTGCAGGTGGTTCCCAAGGACAAGAACCCTCCCAACACGCCAGAGCTCCGCCCAATTGAGAAATACTGGGCTATTGTCAAGCGGAACCTAAAGAATACCAAAAAAACTGCTAAGGGCGAGCAGCAGTTCAAGGCAAACTGGCTTTCTGCGGCGAAGAAGGTGGACAAGGTGGCTGTACAAAATCTGATGGCAGGGGTCAAGCGTAAGGCCCGGCAATTCGGATTTGGAAAAGCGGAAGCCTAACTGAATATTTTTCCTGAATTTTACACTAATTGAACTTGAAAAAGAAATTTAATTTGATTTTTTAAATAAACGATTTCACCGATTTACACGCGTTTTCCCTTGACCAAATTTTGACCGTATCACCCCTTATTACAACCGGATCAAATGTGCGTGATACTTTATGCATTGTGCGCCGGCCTTCAACCGTTTTCACTAAGCGAAATGGAATCCTTTTAGATGAATTGGAACAGCATTTCACTGCTGACCTTATATTTTATTCTTACTGAATAATACTCCAGATAGTGGTCATTTGAATTTCATAGACTTAACAACTAATCAATAATCCAAAAAGGCCAATAATTCGGTCAGCTTCGCATCCTGATTTATCCAAAACTGAATTTAGGCACACCAAATTTTATGCAATTCAACTGTCTATTCCTGTGGGTTATGTTTCCTCATAATGTTCAATTATTGGGTTATTTGTGGTTTTGTTCTTGATCTCTCAATGAAAATGTTCTATTCGGAATAAATTTGTAGATGGAAGCATCACAATAGTAAGCGGCTAAATACATAAAAAAAAAACTGTTCTAATAAAACCACGTAGACAGGACCTTCACCCCTCCCCCCCCGTAGACTAACGTAGACATTTTTGGAACCCCTCCCTCCCCCCTAAGTGTCTACGTAGTTTATGGACAGCCCCATGCGTGAACGACGATTTGGGAGAAAGGGTTAAGTCGGTTTGTCTGTGATGTCAGATTCATGGAGTCAATATGCATTATGTACTATCAATTTCCAAGAATATTTGATTTTTCAGGTTCTCTAAATCATATTCAAGTTCAAGTCAAATGATCTACTAGATCACAGACTTTCACCGAATTCCAAAATATTTTGCAGGGCTAGGTCATCTAACCATCAAAAGACTACAAGCGAAGGTTCTAGCTTGGTTCATTATTCCTTCTGTCCTTTTGTCCTTTCGGCAATTTGTTTAAATAGAGTCTTCTTCCACGTCGTTCTCGTTTGTTTTGAGTCATACTTCCCTCTTAGAACAGAAATCCGTCCGATTCCCCCTCAAATGTACCCGAAAAGCGTTCGTTCTTAAAGCCACCATACAATTCTAATCACAACCCTTTCCTTCCATTTGCAGACGCGAGTGGGAGCCCGGGATACGGTCCCGGCGGAAACTGACCTACAAGGAGTCTACGTCGGTGGCGTCATCGGCGGCGGCAGCAGTGGCAGCGGCAGCGACCGCAGTAGCGTCGTCGTCCTCGTCCGCCGAGCTCCACCAGCACTCGTCGTCGTCGCTGATCCGCAGCAGAAGCAACTCGCACAGCGGCAAAAAGGAACCAAAGAGCGGTGAGGGCAACAACGGTAGCGTCGTGATACAGGACTCGGGCTTCTCGACCGAGACGTCCTCGTCCAAGGAGACACACAGTGCCTCGTCGACGACGGGTGGCGCCACCAACAGCGGTGGCAGTAGCAGCGGCAGCGGTGGCCTCGTCGGGCAGGGAACTATCGTATCCAATACGCCCAATCGACTAACTGTAGATACCGAAGATGAACTGTGGAACTTACTAGATGTGATACATAGGAAAAGCAATCGACTTCGGGAGGAGGTGGATGCGCTGCAGCAGCTGGAGCGGGAAAAGTATCGAACGAATCAGCTGAACAACAGCAGCAACAGCAACAGTAACAACAACAACAACAATAACATCAATAATCACACGACCGTCGTTAGCAGTACTAGTAATATTAATAATATCGTTAATCATAGCAGTAGTAGTAGAAGTAGTAGTGGTAGTAGTGGCAGTAGCGGCAACCTTCCTCAAACGCATCAGCCGCCGGGCGTTCGGAGTGCCAACGGTTCGGTCGTCGCCGTCGGTGGCGGTGGCAGCCTAGCGAAAACCTTTCAAAATCAGCTTCTAGTGGACATTGTAAATAAGGATGATGTACAAATTCTGCGGAAGGAACGGGATCGACTGTTTGACAAGCTGTCCGAGTTCGAGACGGAAGCGATCGCTAGTCGGATACGGACCTCGAAGATGCAGGACGAGGTCGACGCGCTGGCACTAGCCAAGCGTGAACTGGAAGACCAACTCAAAGCGGCCCTAAGTCAGAAGCTAGAACTTAACAGTAGGATTCATGATCTCCATCAGCAGTTTGCGAACAAGAGTGCGCCTAGGTAAGTTCCCTTCTATCCCCAGTAGTCGTCCATCCGATGATATTCTAACCCTACTTTTCACAGTTCTCCGGATTCCATCAAAAGTCGGCACCAGTTGACGCCGGGTCTGCGGAAGCATTCGTCATCGGATTCCACCACCAGTACCATCATCGTCACACCTTCCTCCCATCTATCGACGTCCCCGTCGTCCGGTAGCCAATCGACGACGCCGGCTACGCATCTACTTAAGCCGCGCTTTAGTCAATCGAGCTTCGCGCCCGTCAAGAGCGTTAGCAGTAGCAGCAACAACAGCAACAGTAGTAATACGAAAGTTCCCGTTCCGACGGTTCCGTCGGCTGTGATAGCGGCAAGTGCCGTCGAACTGCAGCAGGAGGAGATCGCCGAGCTGGGCAAGCTGGACGGACTGGTGAGTTCGCCGGCGCGGCTCAGCAAGGTGCGCATGACTGATTCGAAAAAGATTGCCGCCATCCTGCTGGAGACGAACATTGTCGAACTGCAGCGACATCTGCTGACCATTACGGTGCAGAACCAGGTAAGTGACACCAAAGTTCCTACGGCATGCGATGACACACATCGGAGAAACGCACTTCAACTGTTTGTCTGATTAGTCCGGTAGAATCAGGGACCATAAAACGCATCACAATGCCACCACATTCCCCCCCCCCCCCCCCAGCGAACGGGAGTCCGACCGAGTTTAATTTGCATTTGCTTTGAAACGAAAAATGCTTTTCACACACCCACCTGGGACTGGCTGGATGGACGCTCCCTGGTGCGATTGCGAGTGCCATTCCGTCCCACATCGGCAACGCGCACCGTTTAGATCACCGTTAATTTATTGTAATACCGAAATGATAATTTTCATTTCCAATTCGCCCCGATTTGGATAGCCGCGTGAGTGGGAGGGGTGGTGTGACGACGACGACCATCTCGCTTTTGTTGTACGCTTTTTGTATGGGCTTATAAATCGTCATCGTAAATTACGACGACCAGCCGGAGTCCGGAGTGAGAGGGCGACTAGTATCGCTCTGCTTCGCTGGAACAGTGTCGGACGAAACTTTAGAGTGGATTGGAAGTTTGGAAGACCTTTCAGTTTTGCGCTGGATTTTCTGTTCAGTGTGGTGCGATTTCAAACCTGACATTACAACATTACAGTACATTACAAATATGGAATTCATAAGAAATTCCGAGCTAAATTACGGGCAGTTTTAGGATTTCTTAGATTATGAGTAAACTTCCAGGAAATTTTGAGGGAACTGTTGAGTAATTCGCCACGGTTCCGAGGGAATTTTTGAGAAGCTTTAAAGTAATAACTAGGACGTTCCGTTGTAATAAATTCCTGGAGAACTTTTCCGAGCATACTTGTAAGAATTTATGAGCGAACTTCTGGGATGGTTCAAGTGTATTATTGGGAAGTTACGAGGAAATTTTTGCAAATATGAAATTCATAAGATAGTCCAACAAAAATTACGGGAAGTTCCGAGGCAGCTCTAGGAATTCTTAGATGTTCAGAGTTTAGAACAAACTATTGGGAAGTTCTGGGAAAAAATCTGGGCTGTTCCGTGAGAACTTTTGGGGAGTTTCTAAAGAATTTCGAAAAAGTTTCGAGTGAACTTCTGGAAAGCTCAGAGCAAGGCATATACAAATTTCAAACAAAATTACCGGAACAAAAGAAGCTTTGAGGACGCTTTAGATGTTTTTGAAAACTTCTGGGAAGTTTTCAGGGTATTATTAGGAAATTTCGAGAAAGCTTTCGAGATGCTTCGAGAGAGCTTTTCTTAAGTTCCGGGCAAGTATGAAGTTATTCTTAGATATTCCGAGTCAAATTCTAGGAAGTTCCAAGGGAAAATAAAAAGTGCGAAGGCATGTTAAGTGGGAACCATTGGGAACTTCCGAGACTCCAGGTGAACTTGAGGGAAGTTTTGATTTTTTTTTTCTGGGATGCTCTGAAGGTACAGCTAGGATAATCCAAAGAAACTTCAGGGATGTTTCGAGCAAACTTCTAGGAAGTTCCTAGAATTGTTCTAGAAAATTTGAAAATTTCCAAATGAACTTCTGTGATGTTCCAAGTGAATTACTGAGCATCTTAGAGGCTTACAAGAACACCTTAGACGTTCTAGAAGCTTCCTTGGAATTTCCGTAATTATCCTTGGAATTTGTTATGAATTTAAGGCTGAGTATATATGAAGCTCCGTGAATCTTCTCGGCAGTTTCATGAATCTTTTATTAAGTTCTTAGGTTTCCTCATAATTTCTGAAGTTCCGTTAATTTGTTTTGAACTTGTTTGAAGTCCCTCAGACTTCTCTTAATTTCCGTAGACTTCTTTGAAGTTTCATGAACTTCTTTGAAGCTTCCTGAACTTTTATCAGCTTTCCTGAACGTCTATGCATTTATATGAAGTTCCTTGAGCTTGCACGAAGTTTGCTGAAATTATTTGAAGTTCCCTGAATTCCTTCGAAACTACCAGCAAGAAGCATAGAAGCTTTCGGAACTTCCAACAAGATCACAAATTATCATAGAATTCTAGAAAGCCTCATATAGAGTTTTTGACACATTGACACACGTTTTCAAATCTTACCCAAGCAGCACACTTCCATCGAAATAAGTTGTTGCAACTTGATTGTGACTGGAACGGGTTGCACACAAGTAACCACAATTATTCAGTGACAAATGTGTTGCTAGGGTAGTGAACTTCTTACTCTGAAGGTACAAATAGTAGATTCCAAGGAAACATCAGGGAAGTTTTGAGCGAAGTTCTAGGAAGTTCCGAGAATTTTTCTAGCCAGAATCGAGAGCATATTTGGAAATTTCCTAGTGTATTTTTGGGATGTTCCGAGCATCTTTGAAGTTGACAAGAACATCTTAGAAGTCCTAGAAGATTCCTCGGAATTTCCCGTAATTATCCATGGAATTTGTTATGAATTTCATATTTTCAAGGCGGGTATTATTTATTAGATTCCGTGAATTTTCTCTGAAGATCCTTCAATATTCTCTGAGATATCCTCATTATTTCTGAAGTTCCGTAAATTTGTTTTGAACTTGTTTGAAGTTCCGCAGACTTCTTTTAAATTCCGTAGACTTCTCTGAATTTTCATAAACTTCTTTGAAATTTCCTGAACTTTTATCAGCTTTCCTGAACTTCTCTTCATTTCCCGAAGTTATATGGAGTTCCTTGAGCTTGCACAAAGTCTGCTGAAATTATCTGAAGTTCCCTGAATTTCTATGAATCTAGAAGCAAGAAGCTTAGAACTTTTCGGAGCATCCAACAAGTTCACACATTTTCATAGATTTCTTATGCCTTTTGTAGAGTTTTTGGAACGTTAATAAAAGTATGTGGAGCTCCAGGGACGTTCTCAGATCTTTCAAGAAGTTCATGGAACTTGAGATATTCACGGAACTTACAAGAAATTCGAGAAGTTCACGGTTTTTCGAAAAGTCCGTTAGGAAAATTAATAGAAGCTTCCGGGTTTTTAGCAAACTTCACGGAACATCTGAGATGTTAACGGAACTTAAGAGAAAATCCAGGGTCTTTTGGGAAGTGCACCGAACTAACTGAAGTTCACAGATCTTCATAGAATTCTAGAGACCCTATTAATTTTTTAACAAATCAATAGAAGTTCCAGGATCTTCCAAGAAGTTATCTTGGAAGCTTTTGAGAAGTTCACGAAACTTCAGAAAAAAATCACAGAACTTCAGAGCTGGTCAGGAAACTTCATAGTAGTTCACGGAATTTCAATAGAAGTTCCATGTTTAGAGACACTCCTGGAAATTCCAAGAAATTTACGAAACTTCTGAAAAATTTTCTGATCTTCCGGAAGTTTTAAGGAGTTTTTGAGAAAATCACGAAATTTCAGAGTAACTCACGGTACATCAGCGATGTTCACGGAATTTCAATAGAAGTTCCCGGGGCTTCAGAGACATTCATGGAACATCTGAGAAATTTACGAAACTTGAAAAAAAAATTAATGAACTTTCGGGAATTTCACGGAGCTTTTGAGATGTTCACGAAACTTCAGAAAAATTCACGGTACTTCAGCGATGTTCAGGGATCTTCATCGTAGTTCACGAAATTTCAGTAGAATTTCAACTCACGGTACTTCAGCGATGTTCAGGAAACTTCATAGTAGTTCACAGAATTTCAATAGACGTTCCCGGAGCTTCAGAGACATTCATGAAACATCCAAGAAGTTTACAACACTTCCGAAAAAATTACTTCTCTTTCAGGAGGTTTAAGGAGCAGTTGAGAAGCTAACGAAACTTCAGAAAAATACACGGTACTTCAGCGATGTTCAGGAAACTTCGTAGTAGTTCATGGAATTTCAATAGTAGTTCCCGGAGCTTCAGAGACATTCATGGAAGTTCTAAGATGTTTACGAATCGTCCGAAAAAATTACTGATCTTTCGGGATGTTAACGGAGCTTTTGAGAAGTTAATGAATCTTCAAAAATATTCACGGTACTTCAGCGATGTTCAAAGAGCTTCATAGTAGCTCACGAAATTTCAATAGAAGCTCCCGGAGCTTCAGAGACTTTCATGGAAGTTCTAAGATGTTTACGAAACTTCCGAAAAATGTACTGATCTTCCGGAAATTTTAAAGAACCTTTTGAGAAGTTCACGAAACTTCAGAAAAATTCACGGTACTTCAGTGATATTCAGGGAACTTCGTAGTAGTCCCGGGAATTTCAGTAGAATTTCAATTCACGATACTTCAGCGAAGTTCAGGGAACTTCATAGTAGTTCACGGAACTTCAAAAGAAGTTCCCGGAGCTTCAGAGACATTCATGAAACATCCAAGAAGTTTACAATATTTCCGAAAAATTTACTGCTGTCTCGGGAACTTTACGGAGCTTTTGAGAAGTTCATGAAACTTCAGAAAAATTCATGGTACCTCAGTGATGTTCAAGGAGCTTCATAGTAGTTCACGAAATCTCAATAGATGTCCCCGGAGCTTCAGAGACATTCATGGAAGTTCTAAGACGTTACGAATCTTCCGAAAAATGTACTGATCTTTCGGGAAGTTTACGGAGCATTTGAGAAGTTCACGAAACTGCAGAAAAATTCATGGTACTTCAGCGATGTTCAGGGAACTTTATAGTAGTTTACGGAATTTCGGAGAAGTTCCCGTAGCTTCAGAGACATTCGGGAAGTTTTACGGAGCTTTTGAGAAGTTCACGATACTTCAGACAAATTCACGCTACTTAAGCTTCCAGAAGTCTTCAGGAGACTGATCAGTTTCCGAGAATGTTCACCTAGAAAATCTGAAGGTCTCTTTTATTAGATGGAATGTTCAGAAGACTACCGAGTTAATTTCCAGAAGTCATCAGATATTCAAGGAATCCTAAGTAATGCTCGATATTCATCAGGAAGTCTTTCATTAGATATTTCCAAAAATCTTCTGGAGTGGAGACAAAGTATTCAAGTCCTCTGCAGCAGTCAGCAGATGTTTCCTAAAGGAGTCTTACAGTACTCTTTAAAATCATTTTGCAGGAGGAGTGTTGAGCAATTTGTATTTGAGAGTCTTCAAGAGGAATTTTC